AAAAAAACACACAAAGAGAAATGCATTAAACATCAATAAATATCAATAAATTAATAATTTACTACCATTGTGTGAATAATATGTAATTATGTAATCCAGAAAAGTAACGGTAATCTGATTATAATCATTTTAAAATGTTAGAAAATCTAATTACAAGTACTTAATTTTTCGAATCTGATTACATAATCAAGATTACATACACTCAGTTACTACCCAGCACTGCAGACAGACAGACAGACAGACAGATATAGATAGATAGATAGATATGCACTTTATGATCTGTGCAATTGGTTGATCAAATACGATAAAATCTGTTTTACAGTGGATATCTGGTCTGTTGGATGCATCATGGGTGAACTTCTGAAGGGGAAGGTTTTGTTTCCTGGCAACGATTGTATCCTTCCTTCACGAAAGCCACTTAAACCTCCTCTTAGTGTGTTTGTGTGGGGTTTTTGAGTGAGTCTTGCTTCCTGTAAAGGCAGGTGAGGAAAGTGCAGCCTAAGTGGTTCAAATTAAATTACAGAAGCTGAATGTAAGGAACTAGAAAACAGTTTCCAAAGATGGAACCTATAACCTCTAAACTGTTATAGAATCTATGACATAATTTGTTCAGATATAGATCAGCTCAAGAGAATCATGGAGGTTGTAGGCACTCCTACGCCTGACGTTTTGAAGAAGATATCCTCCGAACATGTGAGAAGAGACCCAAGTGTTCAGTTATTGGTTGAATTTATTAATACTAACAATGTCTAATGTTGTTGATGGATGACAGTGTGATTGAAATTTAAACCATAATTTTTGGTATTACCCATCTAGGCTCAGAAATATATCCAGTCTCTTCCACACATGCCTCAGCAGGACCTGGCGAAGATATTTAGAGGAGCAAATCCTCAGGGTAAGGCTAAAGGCCTTCTCACATTAAGAACGATAACTATATTAGCGCCCACACGCCATATTAGCGTGAACTGCTTTCATGCCATCTGCCACTTTTAACACTTGAGCTCTTTGATGTTTTCTGGATTTTGATTGGCTATCAATGTTTCTGAAAGTTCTGAATGTTTCAATGATATTGAGGTGGATTCTGATTGGTTATCAATGTTTTTATCATTCATCAGCTGGAAAAAGCATTCTGAAAGTACCAATGACGTTGTTCTTTTGTATCATTGTTAGTTGTGGTCTAAATGCTGCTATTCTCTTAAATTTAGAATGATTTTTAAAACTTTAAAAAGTTATCATCCTTGAAGTACAATCAATGCTGCAAAAAAAAGACGTTTTTTTAGTACTTAAAAATAGAATTAGTCAAATAAAATCGAATTATTTTCCCCCTTTTCAAATCTTTCCCATCCGCATTTGCCCTCTTTGACTTTAGCGGTTGATCTGTTAAAAAAGATGCTGGTGTTAGACTGTGACGGGAGGATTTCAGCCAGTGAAGCTCTGTGTCATGCGTACTTTTCCCAATACCACGATCCTGAAGATGAACCAGAGGCGCCTCCATATGATCAGACCCCTGAGAGCAAGGATCGCACGCTGGAGGAGTGGAAGGGTGAGAGGAAATCTTACACTGCTTTTGTTTGGATTAAAGGTTGTAAACGTACAAGCCACCATGCTGAAGCTATTTGTTCATTCAGAAAATCATTGTGAACATGATCTGCCAAAATTGATACCTTGTAATATAAAATCAACTCTATTTGTCACACTTTTCGTCTTTATTGACTTGTATTTAGCTTTATTAACTAATATTTGGAGTTGTTCGGTGACTATGGAAATCCACTCTCTCTTTCTCCTTCCACAGAGCTGGTGTTTGAGGAAGTAAGCAATTTTAAAGATCCTCCCAATAAACCTGAAAGTCTTCAGGTTGAACAATAAAACTGAGCATAACTACAATCCAGGAAGATGCCGCCCCTCGCCACTGTCTGTCTTTCAAACATACATCCAACAGGATTGATGGACATACTGTATGAACAGCTTGCAGTCCAACCAGAGACAATGACTATGTATTTCCAAGGCATGATGCCCTTCCTGTATGTGGGTGTGTGTTCATACACACTGAAATAAGAGCAAAACATGACCGGTATTGTTTGAACATAGACACAATGTATTAATATTACAAGGTGCATGTTGTGTGTATGTGTGCAGAGTTGTGTGTTTTGAGTGTTTTTTTATATTTGATGTGAGACAGGTGTCTATAGGTGAAGCAGGGTATGGTGTCTTTCATATGAGACCAAAACAAACTAAGCAGGAGGAGGAGAAAATATGTTTACAATATTGGATGGAGTGGGATGTGTGTCTTAAAAAGTTGATATATGCATCAATGTACAAAAGTCTCTGCATAATCAGTTACATAATCTGTCTTTACTCGTTTTGCATCCGCAAGGCTATCTGAATATAACATACCTCAAATGCATCATGTGTGTTCGCATGGAATCACACCTCAGGTGAAAATGAAATGATTAATAATTGTTTAGTTACAGAAACAGATTGCTGTGATAAAACTCATCCCAGCCACAAATACTGTCTTTATAACAAAAGGTTAAAATAAAGGTTAACTGTTAGTTTACGCTGCACTACAACAGTGCTGGTTAATTCACCATATGCTGGATAAACTGTTTTTCTTTTCTTAGGTTATTTAAAGGACCAGTATGTGGGTTGACCTCCTTTATTGTAAAACATAAGTTTCCACATCCATTTCTATAGTACAAGTCAGTTGTCAGTTGTTAATATCCATATCTATCACAAATCCTGTTAAGAACACGTCTGGGTCATAATTCATCCTAAAAAAAATTGTATCTTGCATTAAAAAAAAACTTTTAGGACCATTATGATTGTTTGCATTGTGACATTATTTTCATTGCAATTAAGAAAATGTTCATTATGATAACACGCAAATCAGTCAGTCAATCACAACAATAAATATATTTGCCGTACTGCCTTTAATTTTTTACAAATGTAAAATAGACAATTTTACGAATATGAGAAACAAAAGAATTTATGAAAATAATGTCAGTGTCAAATAATTTTTTTAATATATAATAATAAAAAAAAAATCAACATTCCTGATTTTCTTTATGTAAAATATAAATTTTTTTTTGAGAAAGCAATTTCAGTTCAGTCTTCTGAATGTTTCTTCTGTCTAGTGAAATGAATTACACAATATTTAAAATGTATTTGAGGAATGGCAGCAGTTGTTTACAGACTGAATATGTGTGTGTTTTCAAAAAAAGGAAACTGCATTTCAGGAAGTGTCACAATTATTTCTCAATGTATGTTTTGGAAGATCCTGAATGACTACTTTGATGTCATGAAACTATTAAGCATCCTCTAAAGTTGAATGGGGAAAATGGGTGTGGTTTCTCACATTTACACTGTATGTAAATGAACATTATCAACAACTGCCCTGCTTTCAGAAATCTTCAGTGTAAAAAATATATACTAACCACTTGGTACAAACAAGTGTCACTTCTCTGATGTTGTTCAGATGTCCTGTTATGTGGCCTTAGCACTTTGCCATTATGTATCTGCACCCTCCTCCTGGTCTCTTGCATGCCTTTAACAAAGATAAGAACTGCCTTCAGCTGTTTCACTGGGACTGGATCGGTCTTTTCCCCTTTGTGAGTAAGCCAGTCCCCTTAGCATGTATGCACGACCCCCTCACCATCACTTTTAATAAAATGAAACTCTTTTCCTGAAACCTGTTACAGTGTTAAACATTTTAAAAGTAGAAGGAATCAATTAGACCTCATTTACAGATCCGATAACAATCTGAAAAAGCTGCTTTACGATGTTCAAATGTTTATTCCAGCGCGTAATTGTGGAAACGTTTGAACCGCCCCCAAATCCACCGGGGCTCTCCAAGTTGCGTTTTGGTGCAAATAGTCGTGGAGATAGTTTAGGAGATTTCAACCTAAAAATCTAGTTTTTCTCTAATAACACTTAAGCTACCACTAAACTACTATGTCATTCAGATCATTGGCAATTGTTTTAAGTTCTGTCATCACAGACCAACAGTGAAACAGCAGCTAATGTCTTTTTCTCTTAGTTACCTGGTGATGCCGTTTATGGGCATTGATTTGGGAAAGCTGATGAAGATGGAGAGACTATCGGAGGACAGGGTGCAGTTTCTGGTCTATCAGATACTGAGGGGTCTGAAGGTTAGGCACAGATATACACACAATCACATCTGTGAAGCACTCTGTCCTTTATAACTTTGTGGTATCTATAAATCTCTCGCTCTTGCTCTGTTTCCACAGTACATTCATTCAGCTGGGATCATTCACAGGGTAAGTGACCTCGGAGAGTTTAAATAGAGGCACAGAGGGGGTTGGGTGACCACTTCATTCAACCCTGACATTCATTCATCCTCTGTCCATCTCTTCTCTTTTATAATGACTGAGAAAATTTATGGAGGCGTGCATTTTTGTTTCTTTAAAAACAGGCTATATAGAATAAGTAGGAGCATTTTTACTGCCTTAGATGTATATGTATTAGTTGTGTTTCTTGTAAATGTCTACTTGGTTGTCGTTGTTCAGGATCTCAAACCAGGAAATCTGGCAGTTGAAGGTATTAAAGCAACTCGGTCTATAGCCCAATTTAAATTAATGTCTACATCAACTTTTGTAAAAAGCTGGGAGTTTCAAAAATCCTGGCAAGGATGACGGTAAACTTTGTGTGCAGATCTTGGACTTTGGACTTGCACGTCAGGCAGATTCAGAGATGACAGGTTGTTGTGACCCGCTGGTACAGAGCACCGGAGGTTATCCTCAACTGGATGCACTACTCACAAACAGGTGAGATAGACTACCAATAGAGACCTGTACAAATAAATGTAGCTATTACATCGTCTAACCACTAGATGTCCCTGTAGAACATCACAGTGAGCTCAGTATCACACTAGTCCTGGGGCCGGTTGCACCAGCTGTGCTTAAGTTACAACTTGGCCTATTTTTTGACGTAAAGGGGCACCAAGTTACAACACACGCACTACTAAATATTTCTGCGTTGCATCATGAAACTGAATAACACAGCTCAACGTATAAACTAAATATTTCTGGAAGCCTCCAACCAGAAGAAATGTTGTTAATAAAATCGCAGATTGACTGAATTGCATCTTGAGAACTTTAAATTCCAATTTAAGTAAGAACTTATGAACAGCTTGTTCAACGCCTGATGTGATTATGAACTCTTTTTCTGTTTTAGTTGATATCTGGTCAGTGGGCTGCATCATGGCGGAGATGTTGCTTGGAAGGCCACTTTTTAAAGGAAATTACCGTATCTTTTTTTTTTTTGCAGTGTAACTAAAAGATGATTTCTCCTTTCACATGTTCTAGTGACTTTGATGATTAGCTGACTGATATTATGTTGTTCTTGACTTGTGTATTTACATGTAGTTATCACTGAAAATCAGTCAACTGAACTGACTTTATTACAATCCACAGCAGAGATTAAACAGATAAAGTTTGTGTTCACTGTACTATCTCTATTGTATCACTGAATCCTTGACATAGACTTGTAGATCTGGACCAGCTGAGAGAGATCATGAAAATCACAGGAACACCAGCACCAGATTTCATCATGAAGCTACAGAGCCAAGATGTGAGTGTATTATTGATAATAAGAAACACAGGAAGATTGCATGCACACACATAGACATTGCACAACTGATGCATGTGTGTTTTCTTTATCCACCCAAACAGGCCAAAAACTACATCAGAGGTCTGCCTAAAGTACCAAAGAAAGACTTGAACACTATTTTCTTTAAAGCCAGCTCAGAAGGTAAGCCATTTCTTTCTTTTGCTACACTGCTAGGGTCAATTGTAAGAGTTATTTGTGTCTAATGAGTGTCTTTTTTCAGCTGTGAAGACTCTGGAGCAGATGCTGATTCTGGATCCAGACAAACGCATGAGCGCTGCAGAGGCGCTTGAGCTCCCACTGTTCACAGAGTTCAGAGAACCTGAGGAAGAGACGGAGGCCCTGCCTTATGATCACTCTATGGACAACACAGAACTGCCTCTCGATCAATGGAAACGTATGAGATATCTCAATGGTTCAAATCTATAATAACAGAATTGCTAGGTTTTCTTTCTATGGGTTGAGGTAAAGAATGAATAATGTAGGAGAGAGATGAGAAACACATGAAGAGAGGTCACAATGTACAACTCCATTCTTAGTTCTGATTCATTGTCGTCTCGGTCTCTCACTTTGCAGGTCACACTTTTACAGAGATCCTGTCATTCCAGCCACCCATCACAGAGATCAGAGACTCCAAAGAAACATCCCTCTGAGTGGATGCAGATACACACCATATATAATATGAATAAATGTATGACAAAGAGAAAATGGAATGAATGTAAACCGTATGACTTTGTAAGTAAGCAAGAGTTTGTCACAATGTTGTTCAGTTAGAAGGTTCCACATGATTATACGGTTATGTGAATTCTCTTTATTACTTGACTTGAATATGCAAAATCCATGTTTTACCTGCACCCAAAAACCATTGTATTTGAATGCTAGTCTTAATGATTTCAGCATGCCAGTAGGCTTATGTTTTATTTACTTTACTGATCAGTACTTATTTCATTTATTAACGCAATCATTTACAAAGAATATGTAATGGTTAGCACATTTAACACCACACCCCTATTTTATTAATGAATAAAACCATCTTAATGAGTGTCTCATGATTTATTAGAAAAACATTTGGCAGTGGAATCATTTTCACTCAGAAAACATACTCCAATAATCTTTGTTTTATTAATTATGAACTTTTAAAAAATCTTCTTTTTAAAATATATATATTTGTAATATTATTTGCCTAAACAAATCTGATTATTTTTCAATACATAAGATATAGTAGATATTTATCTTCTCTCAGTGCAACAAACCTTAGCTTTTCCTGAGCAAGATTGCATAACTCATCTTACATAAGTTTAGCTTTAAAAATCAAGCACCCAGCACAAAAATAAAACGGTAACATGCTTAACTGTTTATTGCTGTTATGGTGCACATTCCAAAGATGATACAGATAAAAAATTCCCTAATAAAGGCTGAAAAATAAACGGCAAAAAAAAACTTTTTTACTTTGTCTGACATTCTTAAGAAGTGCCGAAAGTATGAGTGTTTATAAAAAAGGCATCGAAGATATTTTGAGCATAAATGGCAGGGAAGTTTGTGCTTTATATCTGTGAAATGGCACTGCCGGCAACTAAAAACACATTTTAAACAGCTGAAACTTCTGCTAAAAAGTTAAAGATTATTATTTTTAGCACAGCATGTCTGTTCCTGAGAAATTACTGCCACCTGTTCAAACTATCCCACTTGATAAGCAACAGACTTACCTTACGTTGCATATGTGACCATAAGGACTGAGGTCTTTATAAAAGCCATACCTTTCTCTCTTGCAATTTCACACCATGAGGAGAGCTGCTTTATTTCTACTGCTGACAGGTCTCTTGGCCAATGGACAAGGTGGGAAACTTTATGAAAAGAATTTTAAGAATTGATGGAAATGCTTGTTAAGTTGTTAAAGTGTTCAGTCTGAATGAAATCCCACAGAGTTACACTGGGAAAACGGCTATGACCAGTCTCTAGATTTTAACTGCCCGGCAGGACAGTCGATATCCTACATAAAGAGGTGAGTAAAACGCAGACTGTACTTCTGTAAAGGTATAGATACTGTTAAATGTTATACTAAAGTCAAAGTCAAAACATCATGGGTCAATGTGGTCTACAAAAAATATGGATCAGTGAATGCAGTTTACACTAAAATGGAAGTTATTGGCTATAAAACATGCATGGTAATTTGTAACCCCAGAAAAGTGGAGTCAATATTCCATTTCAAAAGAACTATATACACATTCTCAAAAATACTATAGTAATGAAACCGAACACATAATCAGAACATCAAGTTGATCATTCAATTGCCTCTTACTGTTTCCTTGCCTAATGAATAAACCAAGCCAACATGATAATCATCATGAGGACCGGATGTGGGAGTTCGGCTGTAAAGACACCTTTGATTCTGGTGCAGACTGTTTCGTGTCACCTTACGTCAATGATTTTGACCAAACGTTCACCTATGAGTGTCCACCGCACCACATCATCACAGGAATGAGCAGCTACCACAGCAATAAGCACGAGGACAGACGGTGAGCCATGATTTTGGACTGATTTTGATGTTTGTGTGAGTTTACCTGATCTGATGCCAATACCAATTTTTTCACACAGCTGGCAGTTTTACTGCTGTAGAAGTAACAGCCACTGTACTGCTAACTGTGAGTGGACTACCTATGTGAACTGGTTTGATGAGCTCTTTCACTGGACCGTACCAAACCAAAACTACCTGGTGGGTGCTGAAAGCTACCATGAAAATAAACATGAGTAAGTATAGCAGCAGATTTAAGAGAGAACTTATAAAACAATTAAACTTATAACTATTTCCAAAACGGTAGATGGTGAAAAAGGTGATGCAAATGAGATACTGGAATCCTAACTGCATGTGAAACTGCATATTTCAATGCTAACATGATATCTCTTTTTTTATATTTTCAGAGACCGGCGCTGGAAGTACAAGTATTGTAGTAAAGTACAATGCTAAGACTCTCAAATGCAAATAATCTCAAATAATCTGAAATAAACAAGATGGAAATGTAATGTCATGGTTATTGGCCAAAGAATTTTGAATAAAAAATCAGTAGGTCTGAGACTGTACATGCATATGCGAGTGTCATGAAGTATACTGAAGCCATTAGTGGGGGGAAAAATCAGTACTTTTGCAATTATCAATAAAATTTAGTTCCAGGTGTTAACATTTTGAATAATAATAATTTCCAGTTCATAAAATAATTAGCTTTTGAACCATATGATTACTTTTTCTTGAACGGACTACGCATGTCTGGGGTCCAAAACTCTGAGACTACTCATAATGAAAAATGTAGTAAATACAAATTCTAAGTTATACTTTCAGCATAATAATCACAGTGAAAAGTTGACTTAAAAAAATGGAAGAACATCTGACATCTGCACAAAGAGTTCACATGGTCACCATCACAAGTATTATTTGATTACTACTTCTTAAAAACTTTTTTTTTTTACTAATCTTTTTTTAACTTTTATCAAGCACAGGCAGGGAGACTGCCAGCCCTGGTATCGCATATTAAAAAAAATTATGGGAGTGCAGCACTCAAGTCACATATGGTTGACATTATCAGATGGATTAATGAATTATCACTACCAACAAATATTTGGTCCCTTACCTATGAAGTCGATACGCTTGTTTAGAGCAGTGTTTCCCAACTCTGTTCCTAGAAGCAAACAAAAAGCACACATTTTCTATCCCCTTTATTTAAACCGACTTGATTAATGACAATAACATTGATTGAACTCATTGGCTCGTAGGTAGACTTCAAGATCTGAAACAGAAAATGTGTACTGTTGCTTTATGTGTACTGATTTAGTGGAAAAGCTTCAAATACACATTTCAATAAAATTTAAAAGACTTTATGATTTAAAGTTGTACTCATTAAGTTTCACTGGGAAAGTAGTGAAAATGTCACTGTTGCACATGAAAACAGAAATCTATACATCAGAGATTCTTTGAATAAATATATGCCATTTCATTTTATTTTATTTTTATATATTTAACTTGGAACATTAAATAGAATTAATAATAACATTACATACATTTTTTTTTTAAACAACAGTCAAAACATTGCTCTTCGACAAATGGCTTTGTTCCTCATCTCTTTGGATTAAATAATCTGCTAAATGCATAAATGTAAACATATATATTCTGATTTCACTGGGTTGTAAAGCACTCACATAGGGAGTTTTCTTGTTTTGCTTCACAAGCAGTTTAATATTTGTGTATATCTTCGAAAATCAAAAAGTTGCACTACATTGTTTTAATCAGTCAAAATCAAAACCTGCAGCACTTCTGTACAGATGGTGCTGATAGAGTCAGACTCCTGATTGGCTGCTGCTAGAATCAGCCATGTGAAAAGCATTTAAAAGACCTCACAGAGAATAAGCACCATCAACACTGTTCACAGGTAAACACCAGAATCGTTTGCATCTCTGAACACAAGACACCACGAGGAGAGTTGCTCTCTTTCTGCTACTCAATGGACTGTTGGCCACTGGACAATGTGAGTGATTTTAGTAAATGTGTTAGCGTTTTATAGTGATCCTTTTCCTAAAATTTCTATGTATATCTTTGAGAGACTGATCTGCAGCAGTATTTTTGAGTTACTTGATACTAGAATATACTCTAAGCTGACACTGGTTTGGTCTCCATCTCCACAAAGGCTGGCATAACAACTACGACGAGCCTCTCAGTTTTAAATGTCCTGCAGGCCAGTCAGTGTCCTCCATAAAGAGGTATCGCTTACTAAAGGTTTATCTTATTAAACATTATTATTAAGGCATAAAAACGTCCCTATATTCACAAACTGTACATTTGTAAATTAAAGTTTTCCCATGGATAAATTCTATAAATTTAGAAAGTTTCTGACCTTTAAACTTTAAATAGAAATTTCATGAAAAAGTAAAAAAAAAATTTAACCATCTGTCCCCATTCCTTGCTTGCACATTGTAACCAAAGCAGCAACTATTATGAGGACCGGCGCTGGGAATAAAGCTGTAAACCCACCTATAGCCTGAGTGCAGAGTGTTTCTTGTCACCTTACATCAATGAATTCGACATAGAATTCAGTTTTCAGTGTCCAGCACAGTATGTGATTGCCGGAATGAGCAGCTACCACAGCAACCATCATGAAGACAGATGGTGAGCACTGATGATTGACTCATTCTTATGATTAAACTTTAATTCACTTGAGTTCATCTGAACTGATGTCAATACCACACTGGTGGCAGTTTCCCTGATGTAAAGTGAAGTGCACTTCTGGTGTCAGTGGAAACTCTCAGTGGTCTTTATACGTGAACTCCTTTGAAGAGGACTTCCAGTGGACTGTGCCTCCTCACAACGTTCTGGTGGGCGTTGAATGCTACCATCAAGATTTTCAAGAGTGGGTACAATTTCTTTACTTACTCATTTTATTTCTAATAAGAAATGTCAGACTGTGTGATCTGTTACTCACTAATGTCATATTTGTACTTTCAGAGATCGACGATGGAAGTACCCTACAAGTACGGTGTCCAAAAATGTCTGTAAGACTCAATATTCTCTCACAGTTCAAAGAACCAAGACGAAGACAAAGACAAAAAATTGCAGCTGATCTCTGTATTCAATTAGTAAATTGGGCTGTGTGTGAGTGTTTGCATGCTTGAATGTGCTCAATTCATTGGGTTAAATCTTAACAGCACTTTGAAATTTTCAGTGACATGATCCTTGATAAGAAAATGTGGAACAACTTTACTGAAACCTGCCTACCCTGTTGAAAAAAAACAGCATAAGCTGAACACACCACGCAATCTTCTACCGGTTTTCGACTATTCTGATATTTTGCTGGACATTGTAGTTGGCGGAGCAGCGGTGCCGTTTAAACGCTTTAAGACGTGCAAACGTGGGAAGCGAGCCAGCACGATTGTCAAGCTCCGACAGCACGATTTTAGAATGGCACTGCCTAGCATCCATCTCGCGACTCTCCACTCTCTACCCAACAAAATGGACAAACTTTTTCTGCTCTCCCAAAAAAAAAAAAGGACTTTTCAAACTCTGCTGCTCTGTGTTTCACGGAAACCTGGCTGAACGAAGCCATTCCGGACAGCGCGCTACATCTGCCAGGCTTCCAGCTGATCATAGCGGATCGCGATGCAGAATCAACAGGGAAATTGCGTGGTGGCGGGACATGTTCCTATATCAATGAAAGGTGGTGTACAGATGTAACAGTGTTGAAGAATATGTGCTGTCCCGATCTAGAAGCACTTTTCATCAACTGTAAGCCTTTCTACTCGCCACGGGAGTTTTCCTCGTTCATTCTCGTGAGTGTTTACATTCCACCGCAAGCGCACGTATATATATATACACTGTGTATTATGTGTATTATATCCACATACACACGTATATAATAAAGCAAACCTCAGACGTGAACTGCCAAAATTCAAACAACACATTACATGCCCCACCAGAGACAAAAATATTCTGGACCACTGCTACACCACAATAAAGGACAGGGGCATCGCTGGTGGGGGAAAAGGGTGACAAAGTGCATTGGACCTAGAGACCTCCCCATTAGGCGCTGTTTTTAAATAACAGCGCATGCGAAACTGCAAAAAGCAAATACTCCAAAAGTGTGAAGCGGCGTGCAAAAGAGGAGTGAGATAAGTCACCCGCACAGCGCTGATGAACGAGCGCTGCACTTCCACCACTATGTAAAGTGATAAACAGCACGAGTTGCTTGATCCATTCCAGTCCATTACAGTCGTGTGATATGAGAACATTAGAGGTTCTGTAGTGACGCTGGCTGAAAACAGCCACGACAATGGAAACTGCATGTCGAAATGTAGAGAGAACACTTGAAAGAAAACGTATCTGGTTACTGTCGTAACCTCGGTTCCCTGAGAGCGGGAACGATACATTGCGACAGATCACAGTGGAACTCGGCGCCCTTTCGGAAATCCTATAGTCTTATAGGATAACGCCAGTTCCATAAACTGGCCAATTGACGCTCATCCATGCAAATACTGACAGGCTTGACAGGCAGTATAAAAGCGCAGAGAGCGCCAATTACATCAGAATCTGAGATTGAATGCTGCACTACTGATCAAGCACCGAGCATGGCAATCTTCACAATGTATCGTTCCTTTTCTCAGGGAACCGAGGTTACGACAGTAATCGGATATGTTCCCTGTCGAGCATTCTCTCTATATTGCGACAGATCATAGTGGGAATTCTATAAACTCCCGGCGTGAGCGTGGCGAAGATCAGGCAAAGCAAGGCTAGACTACACCAAGCATAGGGTAGAAAATCAGACATTCCCAACCAATAGTGTCGCCCGCTGGGAAAGCTTGTAGCTGATAGGCGCAGCTAAACCAATGAGCGTCTTTTGCTCTGGTATACTGAATTTGCATATCCAGCCAGGATGAACGAAGCAACTTCACTGAACACAGGGCAGAAACAGCAACATAATAAGCACATGAAAATGCACATAGATCTGTACAGTGTCAACAGCTATAAGCGGTAACAACTGGTACAAAGCACATATAAAAATGTACAAAGGCCAGCATAGTGTCAACAGCTAATGCAGTCGAGCAGCAGAAGAGGACAGCAGCTTGTAAGTGTTTTGTTTAATTTCTTATTAGATTTAGCACGTTGTCGTTAATAGGAAACATTGTTTTGCTTACTGTGTTTACCGTGGTAAACTCGTGCTCAAGTCGTGTTTGTTGTCATGCGTATTGCGAGGCTTTTCAATTTCAGTTTGCTAAGTAGTAAGGAGTGGCCAGCTGAATTCAATAATGAGGAATCAGGTGAGAATATAATTGGTTAGCACACCGCGGCAGCCCTTGTGTGAAGACCGACGAATGTAAAGACCATCGACTTTACCTTGCGCGACTCCACCAAGCAAGGACACCGACAAGGCACTTGAGTATTTCTTTTCTCCCCTTTATTTACTCCTTATACAGCTTGTTCTCATCTACCTCTTTTTTTGTCAATTGTATTCACCATGTGCTTTCAAATCTCTACTATTAAC